CTCTCTCCTTTCTCTCTCTCTCTGACAAATAAATAAAATCTTTAAATAAATAAATAAATAGGTGAATTCTATGTCATGTTAAGTATATCTCAATAAAACTGTTATTTTTGAAAGAGTAAATGGGAGATGAGGCATTGAAGAGAGTATGTGTGTAGAAGTATTTGACTAATGGGGGTAGAGAAAAGGGGGGATGGGGATGCCAAGGGAGAAAGTATTTTTGTTTCTTATTTTTTAAGGATGAGCAGTGCTAGGCCATCTTCGAATGTATGTGGAAATGATCCAACAGAGAGAGGCTGAAGATGCAGGAAAGTGAAAGCAATTGATTGTGTATATATGATCTCTCAGAAGACAGAAGGAAGTAGGATCCAGATCATAGATGGACAGACTGGCCTTTCATAGATGTAAAGACAATTTCTCCATAAGAGGGAAGAGGGAGACGACGGTGCAGTTCCAAGAAGTTTGATTGATTAAGTGATGGGAGAAAATGAGGAGAAACTGGTCCAGAGGCTGTGGACTTTTTCTCTGAGGAGGGGGAAGAAGGAATAAGAGGTTTGGACAACGGGAAAGATGTGAAATGAGCATTATGGCTGCCAGAGAGCAAGCTTACTAGAGAAAAGTAGTAATGTTTCCAGGAAGTATTGGGGGTGGTTGATAATCAACTGATCAGAATGACTTTTCTCTGCTCATCTGTTTGGAGCAGGCACAGAGAAGGCCAATGATTGGGTTCCTCTGTTGAAACAGTGCTCATGCTCACCTATGGACTCAGTCCTCAACTTACTTAAAGACTCAGCAACATGTAACAAAATTGACACCATCTCCTTTCATGAGCTTCTAGGACCCACACCTACTAGTTTTCCTCTTTCTTTTGCGGCCAGCACTTCTCAGGTTCCTTTGATAGCATATTCACCTCTACCCAATTACCTTTAAATGCTGATGGGTGAGTGTGGGGAAGAGCATGAAAAAGATGAAACATGGTGCCTGCCTTCCTGATCCTTACATTTTATCGGGAAAAACAGAGAATCAACGAGCAAAATTAAATACATCATTTAATTTCGGCTGTGATCAGGGCCACCAAGAAGTGCGTAAGGCATTAGGAAGGTACAGCAAGAAGTCCTGACTTGGTCTGATATTCTTTTTACATGAGATTTACCAACACAGCACTTTGCAGGGAGCAGAGATCCAATAACTTCGTGATGAGTATATAAAAGACCAAAGAGAGAAAAATAATAACTTTGTAGCTTGGAGTTGCTCTAATTGTATGAGAATTCACTTTTTTTTTTAAAGAATTCAAAATTTTTTTCAAGTGGCAAGAAACAGTTGACCTGGGAAAGCTGTATCCTTTGGGAAGAAAAACCAGCCATGTTAACAAAGGAAAAGGAATGGCTGCCTCCCAGCAAAATCCGTGATAAAAATCAGTGTTGACATGAATAAATCTCAGTTCATTAGAAGAGAGGTATATTTAAGGAGGGAAAAAATCACCTATTTATAACATACAAAGGATTTCGGCAATCTTTCATCCAATAGTAGGAGATACAAAGATATATAGGACACAGTTGCTTCCCTCAAGGAGCTCATCGTTTAGTGACAGGAGCAACAATAGAAAGGCAGCCATAGATGCAAAGAAATATGACAATATGACTCTAGGCTTAGAGTGGAATTTTTCAAGAATAATTAAATGCACCTGAGACACCAGCCTTCACTCTCGCATTTTCAGTGGCTTGGGAAGAGAGATTATGTATGAAGAAACAAGAGAACTAAGAATATTAAATGCATATGCCCCAGGCCAAGATGGGAGCCTGTGTCAAATGGGTTCCTGGGAAGCAGTCCCTGAGGCAGAGATGAACAGGCAGCTCTCTTGGGGGAGTGCTCTCAGGATCAATACATGTGGAGAGGACGGGGAGAAAGCAGCATTGTGCAGGATTGTGATGCAGGCCTGGAGACCCCTAGACTGACTGTATGAGAGCTTCTCAAGCTGGAGTTGCCCCTAGTTGAGGTGAGAGGAGGCACCCATAGCCCTGCACTGACCATAGTTTGCAGGCTGCCTTTGGGAAGGGAGAGTGATATTGGGCAAAGAGACTTCTCAGCCAAGGCACTCCCTGAAGAAGGTTAACACTGAGATGTGTCTCCTGGCAGCTGGAGAAATAAGGCCTTTGATCGTGAAGGGAAATCAGGAGAGTACGCCACAATGCCTAGGCCCACCGTGGCGCTTTCATCCCGTTTGTTACCCTACAGCCTTCAAATAAGATCCATGGAGTGACATGCGGCCCATCTAGAGAAGAGACAGCACTTGTGTCTGGGTGCATGAAAGTACAAATTCTTATATTTTAGTTAAAACCAAATTTCAATGACAGATGAACTTACTTGTTAGAAGAATATAGGCAGGCACCTGTTGCAAACATTTGACTGCAAGTTTCCCCTTGATTAACCTTAAGAATTGGCACAGGGGTGCCTGGGTGGCTCAGTCAGTTAATCATCTGCCTTCAGCTCAGGTCATAGTCTCAGGGTCCTGGGATCGAGCCCCGCGTTGGGTCCCCTGCTCAGTGGGGAGTCTGCTTCTACTTCTGCCCCTCCCTCCACTCGTGAGCTCCCTCTCTCTCTCTCAAATAAATAAATAAAATCTTTAAAAAAAGAAGAAGAAGAATTGGCACAGATAATTCCAAACCAAGGGAAATCTAACAAAACTGGGCTGTATAATTTGCAGCAGAGACAGGATCACCTGCAAGCCTCTCATCTCAACTGTTTAATGTACAGAATTCAAGCAGGTTACCGCAAAAAGCTGTGTTTACACAGTTCAATCTATGTCCTATTGAAAGGGCAGGACCAGGGCATCTGGGTGGCTCAGTCAGTTAAGCGTCTGCCTCTGGCTCAGGTCCTGATAACGGGGTCCTGGGATTGAGCCCCATGTCCGCTCCCTGCTCAGCAAGGAGTCTGCTTCTCCTTCTCGCTCTACCTCTCTCCCTCCCTGCCCCTCTCCCCCACTCCTGCTCGCACTCTCTCTCTCAAATAAATAAATAAAATCTTAAAAAAAGAAAGAAAGAAAGAAAGGGCAGGACCAACTCTTGGCAAAAATGGGAATGAAATCAATTGAAGTGTCCTCCAGACCTTTTCTTATCATGATAAGGCTGTGAACTGAAGGCTTATAATTAAGATTTATTATTGACTCTTTCCTTATGGCAGGAGATGAAAGGCAGTTACCCTATTCCCAGATCTCTCTTCCTGACATCCTCCCCCGATTTCCCCCTCTGACATTTTCTACCAACATCTCTCCCTTTCTGACATCTTACTATCTTCTAGTAGTAAAGAGCTACTCAGACTTGCACTCCTTGGGAAATACTTTAATTTTTTCTTCCAAGTCAGTGTTTCCCAGGGTTTGCTTTGTAAACCACCTGCATTAGAATCAAGAATATGTTTAAAATGCAGTTTCCTGGATCCTACCCCAGACCTACTAACTCAGTCTCTGGGACTAAGAACAAGGAATCTGCATTTTCTTTACAAGCTGGCTAAATGATTTTTATGCACAATGAAATTGTAAACAGTCCCCTGCCCCGCTCTTATGGCCTCAACTGTCTTCGCCAGATGAACAGGGCTGAGCTCATGTCTGTTAACACTTACTGTGTTGTCCATCTCAGGGATGGTCTAGCATTTTAACTGAAGACAATCTCTAAGGACTCGTTCTCAATAGGGAAATTTCAGACACGAGAGCAAGATGATTACCGAAATATTCCTTCCCCCTTTCTTTTCCTTTCCTTCAGTTTTACTTGGTGATAGCTTTATTTTCTGCCCTCCTTCAATCTTGGATCCGTTTATAAATACATGTAGCAGTCAGAGAACTATGTAGACCACTTTAGATTTATATGTGGTTTAATAACTTCTGGTTAACTAACTCAGTTCTGGGGAAAGCACGTAGTGATCAGACATGAAAACAAATTTCTACATTCCCAAGGGAACCATCTAAGTATTATGGGGGAAAGAAACAAAAAAGATTTCATTGTCAAATAAGTTTGAAGTACAACGAAATTAAAATTGAGCTGTTTCTTTACCACAGACCTTCTCAGAGCCTTTACTATGCTCCTGTACATTTTGAATTTACCAGAGGAGGTTATTTATGCATTATGTCCCAGCTCCTCTTGGAGAGCTCGTGAAGTTGTCTTACTCTGTAGATTACACTTTGGGAAATACTATTCTAGATTTTAGCAAATTGCCTGTCCATCAGTTACACTCATGATATAGCATGTTTCACATTTTCTACATTCTGAAATTCTTTGGCTGAGTTTGATCTCAGGTAATTACTTGGCTTCTTAGTTCTCCTTGGGGTTTGATTTAAAATTTTAGCAAAATCACCCGAACTAGGTCTTTATTTTCTGTTACTTCAGTAAACTTCAAATTTCAGATCCACATTTTGACTTCATTAAATTTACTTTTAAGCATACTATGCAATGTTTTACAAGTACATTTTGCTTCTTTTCGTTTGGGTTGAAAGAACTTTATCTTAAACTGAATATCAGTGTTCCTGTTCTCAATGTTTATTTAAAAACTTGTCTTCATCATAAACTCATATTTCAACTCATAAACCCTTTTAATCCTCCTAGCATTTTGGTATTTGGGGGTAAAAAGCTTTTTGAAACAACATTTGCATGTGTCTCAAATAAACATTTAAATTCACACAGCTTTCAGTTTTTAGAGAACTCATGCTATTTTCACAAATACTTCTTTTCTGCTTCCTTCTTTTAAAAATGCCTTCTCTTATTTTCCCAGAAAGCATTGGACTTTCTTTATTGATAATTTCTTGAATTTCCTTTAAATCTTGAAAGAGTTGAACCATAAAGTACCAGTGGGATAACAATGCATATTTCATCATAAAGACCTAATCAAGATTCAATAAGGCACTGAAGTTTTAAAGGTTGAAATTGGAATCATTCCATTCAAATTCATCTTAGAAATCCATTGTTGTATAGATAAAGTAAGATTATAGTTTATGTTTTAATGGACTTTGTTTTCAGCGTCCGCAGAGGTGGGTTGTGATGCCATCTGGGAGAAGGATCTCAATTCACACATTTGCTACCAATTCAACCTGCTTTCCTCTCTTTCCTGGAATGAGGCACATTATTCATGCCAGATGCAAGGAGGAGCTTTACTAAGTATTGCAGATGAGAACGAAGAAAATTTCATAAAGAGTAAGTAGGTGGATGACACACACCAATATTAATGCAATTAAAATGACTGTTCACAGTTATGTCCAGGTATGCAAAAATATATTCTGAAGAAAAAGTCCCTTAGAAAATGTTTTATTTTATTAGTACAGTGCCAACTCACACCCAGAATTGTGACCTGTCCCCTGGGCCATACCATTTGGCACCCGGGCATTTCTTCTTTATTTTCTCTCCCTGGAAGAAGAGAAGTTGAGGCCTCAACAAGGAACCCAGGACAATTTGCAACTCCAGCAGGTGGATCTGGGATACTTCCAAACTTAAATACAAATCCCTGCTCTGCTGGAGATCTTAGCTATTCAGCTTCCATTAATAAATAATTAAGTCATTTATTAATTAAACAAAATCTCACCTGTCAGTCAATATGCACAGATACATAGACCTTCTCATGGATGACGAAGAACTTAAAATTTGGTTAGAAAAGCAAAAGCACACACATGTTAACTAAAGGATAGGACAATAATATGTCAAAAGAGTTGTGCTAATGGACTGGGTCTTGGGTTTTACCCATCACCTAAACTATCCTCTTATTTCTCCTTTATAGATTAAATGTGTTTGTAGATGTGTACACACAGCTTTTTAAAAATTTTTAGAATCATTTGAAAGTATGGCAAAATTAGTCACTCATTAAAAGTTTCTGACACTTTTCAAATTTTATTTCACATGTAGTACATATTTATTCTAGAATAATTTTTAAATTTCAAGTATACAGAAAGAAAAATATCCCATCATTCTACAATCCAGAGATAACCATGTTTTTCTAGAAAAAAAACATATAAAGGCATACATACATATATAGTATGTATAAACAATAGTTTTGAATAAATGCATGAATGGCTAGGGGCAGGGACCACAGAACCATCTGCTTGAGTTGGACTCCTTCCTCTACCACTTCCCAGCAGAGTGACCTAACCCGTCTGTGCCTCAAATTCCGCCCCCCCCCCATCAAATGGAAATAATAACTGTGCTACTTGTTGGCAGTGTGGATTACATGTTATGATGCAGGCGAAGGAAGCCTTAGAAAAGGGCCTGGCACACATAACAAACACTCATTGTGTATTAACCATTTAACAACTATGCACACAGTTTGATAAGATGCTTATTTCATGTACCAGCATATAATGCACACCTATCCATGTCCATAAATATAGATCTGCATCATAATTTTTAATGGTTACATAGTATTATAGGTTAGGAATAATATATGTACCTAACCTCCTACTATTAGTCTGATAGATAAAAAAATTATTTATTTTGTTTTTATTTATTTGTTGCTATCATAAATCATCCCTGCACTTACCCTTGGGCATAGATCCCCAATTATTTCTCTATAAGTTTGTGGAAGTATATTCACTGGGTGAAAGAGGAAGCACATTTTAAAGCTTTTGAAAGTCATTAATACCTTCCAGAAGGAATATAACAAATGCTTGAACAGCACAGTTTTGCCCCTTTCCCCACAGACATGCAAAAGTAGGAAATTATGATCAAAACTTTGATTTTGATTTGAGTGAGTCATACTGCAGGAAATCACCCATTTCCAATATCAATATTAGCCTGTAATGGCTTTTACAGAAAATTTTGCATTCCATGTATGAATTATAATTGTTATCTATCTTGACTGTCAGGATTTCTAGTAAGAAGGTTTGGACTTACTCATCAAACCTGAATAATGATGAAAGAAATCAGATATGTCAGAGACTTTGATTTAAATACCACAATTCTATAATTAGACTTCGGGGGATTGTTTAGGGAAACAGAAGTCTATTCATAAAGACAGAACCCTGTCCTGACCAAAGTATTTTTTAATAATGAGAATAGTCTAGTTTCTTTCTAATCGCTGGTGAACATTAATTAACTATGATATAAGGAATTATCTAAGCTGTCACAAATGCCAAGAAATATCCAAAAGAATCTAGGTTTGAATTTATTATTACAGAATTGTGAGCCAATTTAGTTGTAAAGCTAGATAGATGTTTTTGTAACTTTAAACACAGATTATAAATTACGCAGTGATTTTTATGTGTATTGTTAAAACAACTGCACAGAGAGTATTCAAAACAACTCTAAGATAAGAATAATTATTATTTAAGTATTTTAACTAGGTTATTTGAAGATATCACTTGACACTTGCACTGATATGAAATGTGAAAATTTCTCTATCTTGTCAATCCATCTTCCCTGTCACGTCCTGTCATCATGATACCCATTATATTTAATCAGATAGCGTTACTGAAAGGACTAATCGGATCGACATCAGAAAGAGACTCCGTGTAAATGAGGCAGGATCTTGGAAGGGTGGGACCTGTGAATGGTATGCCATTTCTGTTTAGGGATTTCTGGGGTCTCAAAATTATAAAGCCCCCTTTCTTTCCTAAGTGGGATAGGTTCTTCCAGTTTTCCCATATTGTACTGAAATGCTCAATCACAGAGGATGCTGCTGGCTTGTTATGTGAATACACTGATCTTTATAATCTGGGTGATCCTACAACCAATCATCCAAACTGAGACTCTTTTGAGAGTAAAAGAGACTGCGATTAGTAATTATGCTGAAACTACCAGCATAAACTATAAGTTTTCCTGGCAAACTGGGACAGTCACCCTATCTATAAGTCTTAACTGTCAGGGCCTCAGTCTCGGGCAGGGCACCTGCAACTGGCTCAAAATATATTGGGTTCTGAAGCAGATGAACCATAAGAGGAAGAGAAAAATGCTCCCTTTTATAGGTTAAAAGATTAAATAGCGACATTTGAAAGTGTCACAAAACTAGTCACTTTCACTACGTTTCTGACACTGTTTTTTTAAAAATTTATTCTGTAATAATTTGGGGGAATTTTAAAGGCAGTGCTTTTATTTTTTTAAAGCAAAATAATTGAAATATAATTGTAGACCATAATATACACTGTGTAGATTCTTTTGAAATTATTGTGGCTTTCTTTTTGGCATTGTATATGATCAGTTTTGGTGAGTCCATTCTCTCTTTGGGGAGCCATAATCCCCAAATCCAGAAACATTATTAACATTTTAATTTAGTAGGTTGCATTTTACCCTCAATATTAATAAAAATCTCTATTTTAAATACTTAAAAAGCATCATTTAAACAGCTATATAATATTTTTTATCCAGTCGGAAAAATAACCATCCCTTTATTTCTGTTACATACTTCTCCCTGGTTGGCCTTCTACATGTTGGGCTGACTTTTATTTCTTATGTTTATTTCTCTTATTCTAGAATCATTTTTTAAAATTCATGTAACAAAAGAAAAATTTCCCCTAATCCTACAGTTCTGATAACCATGTTTTTCAGTACAAGCATGCCAATGTACATGTTTATACATAGCACCTATAACAAAAATGGGGTTAAATTAAAATGTGTGGAGCTGTGACCCAGTGGTTTGGAGCAGGGGCCATGGAGGCAGCCTGCCAGAAAGCCTTCTCCCAACCCAGGCTGAAGATGCAACAGAGTATGGCTCCAGCCTGCTATCCATCCCTCTGGATACTCTGGTCCCTTGGATTATGCTTCTCCTCTTGGTCAGACAACTCCTTCTGGCTCTCACACTGGACAGCCCCCTCCCTGCTTGCTTTAGCATACCTTCTTAAATTTGAGGACTTGCCTCCATTCACCAACAATACTTATCTGCTTTTCTCTTCCTTGCCAGATCCCTAAAGAAAAGCTTCTTTACATTGTTCAATTTTTTAACTGTGAAATACTTAAAAAATATTGAAATGTGCAGAAAATTTTATGGGCACATACATATACCCATTATACAGATTAACATCACTTCTTCCTGTTCCACCCTTGCTTGGAGCCTTCAAGCTAAGTCTGCCACCAGGCACACATGCACACAGAGCAAGGGAAGGAAGACAGAGGGGCCCTTTCTGGAGTGGCCTTCCTGGACACGTCCTCCTCTGCTGTCTAAAACCCTTAAGTGCATGAGCTCACACAGATCAGATGGTCTTAAATTTGCAACCATGCAGCCTCGGGAGGATTGGTGATCATTGAGAGGCAGCACTTCCGATGCTTAGATTAAGCACTTCAGGGCTGAAGAATTGCTGTTAGTGAGCCTTTAGGAGACTGCTGTGTTTCTCAAGATGGCAGAGGCTGACTTTGTTACTCTGAAGCATCAGAGTGGGGTTTAGTAGCACTTAAAACCCTTTGTCATGGACTAGAGTTCACTTATGACTGCATTCACCAGGAATAATAAAACAAGAAAGAAGTGTAACATTGTGGGAGGAGGTTGGTTGTTTGCGTGTGTTGACACTCCGTTTTTCTCTTCATTTCAGAGCACTTGGGCAGTGAAGCAGTGGAAATGTGGATAGGTCTGAATCAGCTGGATGAAAACGCTGGCTGGCAGTGGTCTGATAGAACACCGCTCAACTATCTGAACTGGAACCCAGGTACCTGCAGTGCTTCATGTGCTTCGTCGGGTGGCATGATCCTGCCCCCTTACACAACAGCTATTTCCCACATACATATAAGTCGTGTTATTTCAAAGGGGTTTATAATCATCTTTAAGCTTGCCTCAACTCCCATAAGCCTAGCTTTTCCAGACAAGAAAATGGAGGTCAAGAAGGTAAGCTATTTAGCCAAGGTTGCAGGAGAACTGGGTTGGAGCCAAGACTCCCGTCAGCTGTTCTAAAAATAGCAACAAATGGCAAAATATTTCCTTAAAACAATAAAATCAGCTATTGTTATCTTTGGGAAATCATTTCATTGTCATGTATGGACTTCAACTGCAAAACCACAGATATAATATGACATCTTATAGGGTTTGCCATACATGCCAAAGAGAAGGGCTATCTCCTTGATGCTAAAAACTACATTTATATATATCAAATATATTATATTTGAATAAATAAAATGACATCAATATATATTAAACTGATTTTGCCTCTGACATTAAACACCCACACACACTGTCTTTTCAGAAATAGATTTTGAGCCATTTGTTGAATATCAGTGTGGAACATTTAATTCATTTATGCCAAATGCCTGGAGGAGTCGGGATTGTGAATCCGCCTTGCCTTATATATGTAAAAAATATCTAAACCACACTGATCAAGAAGAGATTGGTAAGTGTTTTTACTTTAAGTTGTTTTTATGAGTTGCTTATTTGTCCCCTCAATATATTCAAATTCCTTTACATTTTTGCTAATAATTAATAATTTAAGGCTAGTTTTTATATCTATATGAATAAATATATGTAAGTAGATAACATCTGTTATTCCAAAGGCACCATGAATTTAACAAATGCATTTGTTAGTTTTTACTAAAATTTTTTTAAAAACCAAAGCAAAATAACCTAGGTGTTGAAAACATTGTCTGCTTCTTTTTTAAAAATTTGCATTCTTAGTTGTTCTGCATGAGATAGACAAGATATGCTTCCTTTTCTATTCTAGTTTTGAGTTTTATTTATTGTTACCTTAGAAATTAAATACAAATTAGAACATAGCTTTATAAAATTCTTTACTTCATTTATCTCCTATCACACTCTGTATCTCTTATTATCCTCCTTGAAATGACATACAAACTTTTATATGCAACAAAGACTTAAATACCACCTAATTACAATCTAATACCTGGAGCCCAATTATTTGTTTTTAAGGTATATTGACTCTTTTTTAGTTTTTGTGGGAATTAATGTCTTAACTCAGAAAGTAGAAATAAAAATATAACCATATTTAAAGAATCATTACCAGCATAATTAAAAACAACTCCAGATTTAAAATAATAAGCTGAATTATTATTTTTAAATATTACTCCTTACAACCAGACTTGAACTTTCATTTTCCTTTAAGTGGCTAAGACTAAGGGTATGGTAGAATAGGGGGAAGAAGAAGCATTGTGCCATTTTTTTAACGTGGAGATTTTTTTTCATTATGTCGAGAACGTTCTATCGCTGTTCCTTTCCATCTCTTCCTTCTTCTCTTGTCCATTTCTTCCTTTCTTCCTTGTTTCTTTCTTATGCTTTCCTGCCATCCTTCTTTTCTTCTGTTTTATTTACTCTCTGGATCTACCAGTTGAGGTCCAAAGACCACAAATGAGGGTAATTAAGTTGTTAGTTTGGATTATTTGCTGTTGCTTCAAGGTTTAACAAATTCTTTTGATGATCTAGTCCAATGTTTTCAAACTGTGTTTTCAGGATCTCTGGGTTCTTGGCTTGGCTCCACCCTTGGTTCAATCAGAGAAGTTCCTTTTTTACTTTTTTCTTACCCGTAGAGTGAAGTTTAAAGGTTCCATTTTTAAAAGGGGTTCCATGACTATATTATTTAGTTTAAAACCACTGGAATAGATGATACCGAAATGTTCTAACATTCTTGGACTGTGATTCTAATTGCTGTCAGCATCCCAGAGCAATTTTAAAACAATGTCTCATTTCCCAAATAGCCCTGGAGTTGTGTCTAACTAAATTAGTGCTTAAAGTAGGCACTCCGTGTGGTTAACAAAATAAAGTAAAAATGCTAATTATCAGATTGAGGACAAGCTCCCAGAAAGGGAGAGCCCAAATTTGACATACACACCACCTCCTTCCCTCCCAGTGCCAAAGCATCATGGCGCTATTTTCCTGTAAGTCTAACCCAGTGTCCATATGAACCCAGAGGGACAACACAGACACTCTGACCGAAAAGTGAAAGCTATTTGTCATCTCTGCTCTGGAGGAAGTAACCAGAATTTCAAGCTTTTTTTCAGCTGAGGATAAATATCTACCCCCACCCACATACTGTACATAAAATCTTGGGAATGCCATTTAAACTGTTTTTCATAATACTCCTTTTCCAGTGTTAAAAGATTTTTTTAAATGCAGAACTCTAACTGCTGAATTTTACATCTAGCCTTAACTCTTCACTTGGGTTGTATGACCTTTACCAAGTCTCCTTACCTCTTTGTGCCTTAGCTCATCTGTAAAATGAGTCACTGAGATCCATTAGATCCTAGATCTAGATCTAGCTCATATGTTGAATCCTTCTCAGTTCTGAAGATCTAGATGGTTTATATGTTATTGTTTCATACGCTTCTGTTTTTCAAATTTTTTTTTTTAAAGATTTTATTTATTTATTTGAGACAGACAGGATGAGAGAGAGAGCACATGAGAGGGGGGAGGGTCAGAGGGAGAAGCAGGCTCCCTGCCGAGCAGGGAGCCCAATGCGGGACTCGATCCAGGGACTCCAGGATCATGACCTGAGCCAAAGGCAGTCACTTAACCAACTGAGCCACCCAGGCGCCCCTGTTTTTCAAATTTTTAAAGTAATCATATGTTGATCACAATTTATATTAAGGCTAATAAGTAACATTTTAAAAATTGTGGAAAATGACATTGTTTTTTGTTGGTTTAAAAAGAAAAAGGTGCTTGGAAATATTATGCTACCCACTGTGAGCCTGGCTGGAATCCCCACAGTCGTAACTGCTATAAACTTCAGAAAGAAAAAAAGACCTGGAAGGAAGCTTTGCATTCTTGCCAGTCTGATAACAGTACATTGATAAACATTGCTTCATTAGCAGATGTGGAGTTTCTTGTAACCCTCCTTGGAGATGGTAAGTGCCAAATGTCTCTGATTTAAGAGGTATGAAATATAATGTAGTCACTATCTTTATTAGTGGAGTTGAAAAGAAGTTAAGCTATTTAAAAATGATTATGGCACATATATCTCAAGTTTCTAAATAATATTCAGGAATGCAAATTCATTGAATTTTTATAAAATAAATGCTCAGAAATTTTGTAACACCTTACATATACCAGATACATTAGATGTTGGTTTTTTTCTTTTTTTAAGGGCAAAGGTCATTTCCAGAAACTTTTAATAAAAGAACTTAAACCTGCAATTTAGCCTTATGGCCATTACATAGCAGTAGTATGCTGTGGTCATGTAATCTAAGCAATAATGGAATTTCTGAGATAAATAATCAGATTTTAATAACTTTAACCAGTGAAAATTTATTCAGTTTGGTGGTTTGCAAGCTGTGTGCCACATTCAGAAATTCTGAGCTCCTAAGCCTCCACCCACCTTTTGTCCATCAGAGCAGGTCTCCCCCTATGTCATATATTTGACATAGAATTCTGTTGAAAAAACATTGAAATCACCAAGTTAGAGTAAAAATTTTTTTAATGAAAAAAAAAAATCTCCAGAGTCTACTCTGGTGACCTTTTGAAAGTTAGGTTTTAGTTTAGAGTGAAAACAAAAATCCTTCTCTGTCACTTTTCTCACCTCCTGCATTTGAGATTAAAAGGATCCTGTGGCTGCCTCTGTCTCAATATGGGCACTTGAACATTTCTCTCAGCCTCCTAGGGTCTTTTCACCTTACCTGGGCTGTCAAACTTTATTTACTTTTCTAGCAGCCCCATTGCTCCCATTTTAATGCTTCTAAGAGTTTCTGCTCCTTTTTTCTCATGGCAAAAAAAAAAAAAAAAAGGCAAGAAAAAATATATTGTAAAGGGTTTTTTTTAAAGTGCCCTTTTCCTAATCCAGTTGACCTTCCTATTTTTCCTTTCTCTAAGCAGAGGCAAAACTATACTGTTCAAATCTACTTTTCATATAGTAGCAGGAACTAATTAGAGTCCCAGCAATCTGACTTGCTTTTAAGCTTTGTCCTTGCATTGGCTTGAGATCACATTCTGTCCCACTTTCAAGGTCTGTGTTGAGCAGATGGGGTAGTAGAAAAAGATCTAAGTAGATATTTTATACCAAGAGTTAAACAGGTTTTATTGTATGAAGGAATAAAAAAGAAATCATTTGTAACAGGCCCAGTGCATTATCTCCTTTGCATATAATAGGATTCCTGTAATTTACATTTATCTCTTACAGAAAATGCATCAGAAACATGGATTGGTTTGAGCAGCAATAAAATTCCAGTTTCCTTTGAATGGTCTAATGGCTCCTCAGTCACCTTTACTAATTGGCACACACTTGAGCCCCAAATTTTTCCAAATAGAAGCCAGCAATGTGTCTCAGCAGAGCAATCTGTAAGTTGATTTGTTTGTTTAATGCTCACTTTGCTGGACTTGTATTGAGGACCACGTGCATCAGGGAGTTGGGCTGTGGCAGAGACCAAGACAGACACAGTCCCTGCTCTTCCTGGGGCATCCATGCCAGGCAGTAAACACGTGCACACAGGAAAAACATGGTAATTATAGTTGTGATGTTAGCTTTGAGGAAATAGGTGACCCGATGGTGAAAAACTTGGGTTGGGGCTGCTACTTCGGACAGGACAGTCAGGAAAGGCTCTTGGAGGAGATGATGTTTAAGCTGGGACTTAGGAAAAAAAAAAAAAAAACTCTTGAGACGCAGGGGAAGAACATTCTAGACAGGGGACAATAGCTAGTATAAAAGTCCAAAGGAAGGCTAAGGTTTGCCATGTTTAATAATCAAAAAGAAGACCAGTGTGGCTTGAAAGTAGAACTGATGAGGGGATTACAGGAGAGAGGGCAGGAGGAATTGAAAAACGTGAGGCTTAGAGCCCTGGTATAGAATGAGAAAAGGGGCCTTCAAGGAGATGAAGGGCATGGTTTGATTTACATTTTAAAAAGTAACTGTGGCTGGGCGCCTGGGTGGCTCAGTTGGTTGGGCGACTGCCTTCGGCTCAGGTCATGATCCTGGAGTCCCTGGATCGAGTCCCACATCGGGCTCCCTGCTCGGCAGGGAGCCTGCTTCTCCCTCTGACCACCCCCCCCCCCTCATGTGCTGTCTCTCTCATTCTCTCTGTCTCAAATAAATAAATAAAATCTTAAAAAAAAAAAAAAGTAACTGTGGCTGCTACCTAGAGAATAGATAAGAGAGAGGAAAAATGGAAGCAGAGAAATCAGTTTGGAGGCTACTCCAGCGTTAAATTCGGGTAGTGAATATAGAAACAAGCAGATAAATGCAAAGATCCTTTGTAGGGTAGAAACTGTTGCTAGATTAGATGTGGGGTGAGCACAGGGTAGGTGTTTGGCTTGAGCAACCTCTGTGTTTGTGGATGATGGTGTCATTGACCTCTATGGTGAAGATGTGAGGAGAAGATCTGAAGTGTCAGGAAATTACTCTAGAGACTGATGGCTTTTACGCTCCATTATCCTATTAACATAAAAGGATTTCTACAATGTGTGTAACCCCATTGAAAACGGTGACTCAATGGAAAATCTTGTTCTTTTCCTTACGTGTATGTAATGGTCCCAGTGGTCTTAACATCACATTTATCTCTACGCTCTAGTCTTTCATATATCTAAAACATCTGATTAGATTACACAAAATTAGTTTAATCCCAAGTCATTTGACGCATTTATTATACCTTAGACTAGACTTAATCTCTTTGATCAGATAGCTACTAAACTCACTGGTTGAGTTGTAAATCATTAGGATTTGGTAGGCATTCTCACTCTTATCACCAGGATACCATGTTAAGTGCAGTTTATTAAATGTTACTTAAGTAGCTTGACAAAGTAATTGTGCCATCCAAACTAAGAAAATTTCTAAGCACTTACTTTTATGGCACCTCACTTTCATTGTATTATCTTTGAGGCTGTTATAGGTATGCTCAGTTACAATTTAAATGCTAAGGTAGTTCTCAAGTCATATTTGAAGGGGGATAAACAATGACCTCTCTAAATGTTTGTCTTGGGTCTAACTGTGGAAAGCCATCACCGTTTATTCTACAATATTTGATGCTTTATTGGTTCATTGGTTTTGAGATAATTAAGATGACCTTCATTTCCTACTGACACTCTCCTTTTTCGTTTGACAGACACCGGTATTTCACTTAGCATGTCCACAGAACAGGAGCCAACATTTGGACAGGAAAATTATATTTAAGAGAGTAAGGACAGGTATTAATATTCCAGGATGTGTCAGAACAATGCTGATTTTTGTGTCCCCCTTTCTGGAAGCTCAGTAGCTCCTTAAATAGTGGATGCGTAAAAAGTAACATTTATTCCCATGAAGTAGAGCTCAATATGAATATAATTATTATAATTAACAAGTTACCTAAGCATGGTTGATGCCTAATTTGAATATGAGAGCCTAGGAAAATGTTTATTCATTCATCCATCCATCCAATTATTATTAAGCAACTACAGTATGCCTGACACTATCCTTTAACGGGGTGGTTTGCTGGAAGACTCCAGGGGGGAGGGCTCCAGAGCTGCTCTTACAGATGAAGGTGTCAGCCTCCTATACAGTATTCATATTCCCCTAAAACCCTGCTTGCCTGAGATACCACTTAAAATTTGAATTGTGAGCCTTTTGGCCTAAAGGTCTGATTTGTGTTAAAATAACAAATCCTTTGGGAAGATAAAATTTTAATCTGTTAGCAGTTATTGTATTTCATTATTAATGTAGGATGTTAGAGCAGCCGTCTGTAGAACTAGAAGACGTGAAAGTATCCGCCTGTCATATAAAGAAGAAATGGAGTGGGGCTTTGGAAAATTAGTAATAAAGAAGGACATTGTGGCTTGAACACAAAGTTCAGCTATTATAATGTTATCTAGGGTAACTCATGGTAGCTTCCAGGCATTCCCCCAGTATCAGGTTTATGCATGTAAGTAGCAAAGCATTCGATTTTACACTTAGAAGTGATTAAAGAGAGGAAGCAGCATTCTGACTTGGTCACAGGGATAGTTTCATCCGAGTGGCTTTCAAAGTGTGGCCCCCCGACCAACAGCATCAACATCAATTGAAACCTTGTAAGAAATGCAGATTCTCAGGTCCTACCTGACCTATTAAATAAGACACAATGATCATGAGGGCCAGTCATCTGTGCTTTCGTAACCCTTCCAGATAATTCTGATGCACAGTAAAGATTGAGAATCACCGCTCTAACCCATCCTTTTAAAGGAAAAATTGAGAGCAGCTAATGTAAATCCAGGCTGAGTCTGATATTAAATCCTAGTTCCAAATTTTACTGACTGTAAGACCTTATGCAAATATTAAACCTAGCCTTTCAAATGGGAGTAATAATGCCTACCTCACAGCAATGTTGAGATTATATATGACAATCACCCAACATTAGGCCTAGCACACTATCAAGAAACATTAGCGGCCCCTCCTCTCCTGCCCACCAATCTGGGATTGCGTGTCTTAGAATTGTTGAGAGTCTGGAGGAAGCGGGGCCTCCCACTCCCATGTAGAGAGAATATCAACCCTTCTAAGGACCACACAAAGTCCCGACTCATATACTCCATCCTGAAACACTTATTATCAATCATATTTTTATTCAAAATAACTGATGTTGCCTATCAGCATCAATAATGAAGTGTATTCATTCATCCTTGTAACATTTTTCCACTTAGGAGGGACACTGGAAAGTTAAAAATTGTGAAGAAACACTTTTTTACATTTGTAAGAAAGCAGGCCAAGTCCCTTCTGACACTGAATCAGGCTGTCGAGAGGTAAGTGCTGTTAACATTGTGTTTAGTGTAGTGACTTCATAACTAGAATAATTTATGCAACAGCAATTTTAAAGTGAATCTCTCTCCCTCTCACACTTGCCTTTACTCCTTCCTCCCTCTTTCCCCTCCCTCCTTATCTCTCTTCCTTCTTTCTTTCCTTCCCTCTTTTTTTTTCTGACCTTGGGCTGCTTTTAGCAAACCAAGCAATTATCAGCTAGGGGCATATGAAGGATTTACAGCTCTGAGAAGGATCGTTGCTTCTTTGACCTAAACTACTTTTCTTTTGAAATTAGAAACATAAATGATCCTGTTATACCATCTGTACAAACAATGACTGCTGTGTGATGCCCTGTCTCACAGGTGAAGACCGGCAGAGTGAAAAGAAACGCATTCCTTTGGTGGAGAGTGAACTTTTGCACTCAAGAGTCCTGCCTTCCTTTTCACTATTCTTAAACTTAAATCTTTGAATAGAATACTGGCAAGAAGTGCATGTTTGCAATATATTTATTATTTGGGAAAGAGATAATAAAAAATACTTTCATATTTTAAGTAATAAACGATTTTTGGTACTTAACATACTTATTTTCAGTACTTAAAGTAATAAAAGATATATTAATACTTTAGGTTTAAAAGTCAAAGGTAGACAGTTATGTTTTAAATTTCTTCAAATACATTCAATATCCTGCAGTAAAGTTCTCAACACATGCATTCTCTCTCTCTTTCTCCCTCTCTTTCTTTCTCATCCCCGCCCCCCCCCACACTAAAGAATTTGGGTTTAAATATTGGAGATTTGTATGCATCTCAAAAATTTCCCAAACCTGGCTTTTTATGCAATTCTTTATTTTTCTTCTAATCCAGTTATTTATGTTTCAATGAAGTGATGACCCATGTCTCCAAGAAACTGCAATTTATTCATTAGTCAGTGTGTAAACATATGAATTACTCTTCATCCTCTAGGTCAATAATACCTGTGTCATAGCTAACATGCTACCAAACCTTGTATCTAATGACTACAGTTCCTGAATTACTTAGAGCTGATTACTGATCTAATCCCTATCTGACAAGAAATACTGAAAAAAAAAAAAAAGTATGTCTTACTGTGGTTTTCAAGGCAACTCAACATGTTGTATTTGTGTTGAAAAGGAAATTAACTCCTTACACAGCAGAAATAGAACTGATGTTCTATTCAAACTTTTGTACACTGCTTCCCTTTTCTGGCTAGCATTACCAGTATTTAAAGTTCAGAGTAAATTTGGAGTTCAGAGCCAGTTCTCTAACTTCGTGATGAAAGTCCCATTAATTTCTTTATGTATCAATCCATGAATATGGTTTCAAAATTTCCTTCCCTTTAGCCAACTGCTTCAGTGCACTTCTCTAAACAGTTTGTACATGCAAAACCAACTTATAAAATATTTCTCACGGGGCGCCTGCGTCGCTCAGTCGTTAAGTGTCTGCCTTCGGCTCAGGTCATGATCCCAGGGTCCTGGGATCGAGCCCCACGTTGGGCTCTCTGCTCAGCAAGGAGTCTGCTTCTCCCTCTCCCTCCTCCTGCCACTAGCACTGCCTGTGCTCTCTCTGTCAAATAAATGAATAAAACATTAAAACAAAACAAAACAAAAAATAAAATAAAATATTTCTCCCACAGCACACAAAAATAAACTCAAAATGGATTAAAGACCTAAATGTGAGACCCAGAACCTTTAAATCCTAGAAGAGAAAAAGGTAGTGATTTCTCTTACATTGGCAGTAGAAACATTTTTCTAGATACGTCTCCTAAGGCAAAGGAAACAAAATTAGAAATAAACTATTAGGACTACAGCAAAATAAAAACCTTTTGCACAGTGAAAGAAACTATCAATAAAACAAAAAGGCAACCTACTGAGTGGGAGAAGGTATTTGCAAATGGTATATCCAATAAGAAGTTAATATGCAAGAACCTCAAAAGTCAACACCTAAAAAATCCCCAAATAATCCAATTAAAAATGGACAGAGGACCTCAATAGACATTTTTCCAAAGAGGACATACAGATTGCCACCAAACACATGAAAAGATCCTCAACATCACTCATCATCAGGGACATGCAAATCAAAACCACAATGAGATATCACCTTACACCTGTCAGAATCTCTAAAATCAACAACACAAGAAATAGTAAGTGTTGGTGAAGATGTGGAAAAAAAGGACTCATGCACTGTTGGTGGGAATGCAAACTGGCACAGCCACTTGGAAGACAGTATGGAGGTTCCTCAAAAATTAAAAATAGAAATACCATGTGATCCAATAATTCCATTACTGGGTATTTCCAAAGAAAGCAAAAATAAAGGATATATGCACCTCTATGTTTATTGCAACATTATCTACAATAGCCAAGATATGGAAGCAACCTGAGTGTCTATTAATAGATGAATGGATAAGGAAGATGTGGTGTATGCATACACACCCCCAACACACACAGAGAGGAATATTACACAACCATAAAAAAGGATGAGATTGTGTCATTTGCACTAACATGAAAAGGACCTACAGAGTATAATGCTAAGTGAAATAAGTCTGAGAAAGGCAAATACCATATGATTTCACTTATATGTGGAATCTAAAAAAACAAATGAATAAACAAACAAAAAGCAGAATCAGACCTATGAATATATAGAACAAACTAGATGGTTGCCTGCAGGGGTGGCGGGGCAGTCTTGGGCAAAATGAGTGAAGGTTAGTGGGAAATACAGCCTTCCAGTTATGGAATGAATAAGTCACAGGAATGAAAGGCACTACATAAAGGAGGGGGGGATTTTTTGATAATTTCAAAGCAAAAAAAAAAAAAAAAGACTTTTTTCCCTCTGAGTTTTTTGGGATTGTATAATATGAGCAATTGTTTCAGTACTGTCATCATCATCATTTAAAATGAAATGGCGCCTCATGTACAAAAGATATTCACAGATACAGTCAATTATTCTTCCCACTTTCATTGTATGGACAAAGGCTGGTAGTAAAGAGTCTTTGTTTTTCTGGTTATTACTATACCACATTCCTCCCCCTGCCACTTTTCTTGAGCCTGTTCAGTTCTCGGATTTTTTATTTTACTAAGCAGCCTGTGATCTGAAAACTACTAATGAAGAAGGAATACTTTGTTAGAAAGGTCAAATTGTCAGCCTTCCTCCGCCTGTCCTTCCAGATAGAAAAGCCGTCTAACCTCCCACCCCATCTAGAGTGATCCAGGGGTTTCTGTCTGGAGCTGTCAATTACTCACATAGATAAGATTATGGGGAGAGGTTAAGGGAGTGAGTTCAGAGCACATCCTGGCTGGCTGGATGTGGAACTCCTGTGATCCACACCTCATTTAATAATATGTTTTGAACTAAAATTGCTGAGTTCTAAAATAAGGTTTTCTTTACTGCAAGACTGAGACCTTTTATAAGAAATATAGCAGAAATCATTTTATATCTGATCAAAATCTGGCAAGTATTGGCAAGACACAGAATAAAGTGTATTTTAAATCTCGTGAATACAAAAAAAACCCTGTGAATACATAAAAATAGATGTAAGTGATGTGATTTTATAATACTGGAAGGGGACTAAAATAACTCAGTTTAAGTATAGAAGACTAGTGAATGCATGTCTCCTGCAGTATATGATTTTAAAGAACAGAGCCACCCCTCATTGCTCTCAGGGCGGAGCCATGGAGCTACGCATTTATTATTTTTGTTTAAATGCCAAAACTTGCTCTCTTTCTCTCAAAGGATAGCCAGTTGATTGATTTAGGAATAATTTATATATATTTTAGCCAGTTTCTATTTGGAAATATTATGATCTAGCTAAGACCATCATGGATTACACCAGAATTGGGTTCCAGGACAGCTTGTCCACTAGCTTATGACTTTATCCAGATCTCTAACCTCAGTGAAACTTAGTGGGGTAACATGAAATATGTAATATGAAAGAAAGTTGAAAAAAACATACACTATTATCTCGATACATATGTCCTCTTTGCTCATATTGAGTCCCTGGCTCTATTTAAGGTCTCTGCCTGCACTGTCTCCCTTTCATTCTGAACAACTCCGTGGATACTATTATTATCTTCATTTTACAGAGGAGAAAATTCAGACATTTAGAGACTAAATAAAGTTCACAGTAGTAGAGCCAGTATTCAAACCCAGGCATTCTGCCTTCAAAGCCAACACTCTTAACTTCTACCAACCTGCAGGAACCATTGGTATGAAATTTTGTAAGTCTGAGCAGAGCCAGAGAAAGAGAGAGATCTTGAGTGAGTGCCCCTTTGTTTTCATCTGTTTTAGGTTTTAAGATTTCAGATTAATTAAAACTTTTAGGTTTTAATCATTAATTAAATAAATATAGACGTGGCTGTAGCTAATGGCATTACCAGGTAGGATACATACAAAGATTTCAAGACAGAAATTCAAGTTTTGACTTTTGAGTGAGAATACACAAAAACAATGTTTTGCTGTTTAAATCAGATTATGTCCTTAATTTTCTATTTCCTTTTTTAAGGGATGGGAGAGACATGGTGGATTCTGTTACAAAATTGACACTGTTCTTCGAAGTTTTGACCATGCCTCCAGTGGTTATTACTGTCCTCCTGCACTTGTAACCATTACAAATAGGTAAGATAGAAATTTTCTATCAGAAACATGACTGTACTTTTTTGACAAGAGGGCTCCTGGGATGGTAAAATCTAGCCATAATCAGTAACTTGTCAAAATCGAAAGTGTACTGTACATTAGAGTATTAAATTATTTAAATTATTGATCGAGATGAATTTAAATCATACACTGTTATTCTTAAATCAATTTTTGAGTAACAAAGAGAAAATTTAAGATGACTTTTATGTTCCATAAAGATATATTAATTATTTAGCTTTGCTAATGTATTCAATTGTATTTAGATTTTATCTAAAGGTTTGTAATGGAAACGAAGTATGTTATTTAAAAATTTTAAAATTAAGTATGTTTTTAATGTAATGTGTGTGAGTTATGTGGGGTTTTTTTTTAAACAAAAGTATAGCTAAACTGTGGAGGATTTTCAAATGCTTCCCCATTGCTTCCTAGCTCTATATTTGCTTAGATGTAGACTTCTCTGTGCACAGGTGTCTTCTTCATACTAACAGAGAAACTGTGTCCTTTTGACACTCCACAGAATTTGCAACATGCTATAGATTTGTAATAGGGAATAAAAGTACCAACAGCAGAAGTGACCTCAGTGTCACTATCAATGCCAAGAGAACAATGAGGGCTGGGAAACCGACTCCTCCAAGCTGAAGACAGAAACAAGGTAGAATCCTTCAGTGGTTGCATGGGAACTTGTACCTGCAAAGCTAGTCACTTGCTTTTTTACTGAGGCCATTGCCTTTAAAAATATCCACTGAAGATCAGGAAACAAGACAATTGACACTGTGGTTTTATGTAGAGACTCTTCACACATAGGTCTAATCTGTAGGAGGAATTATTGCTTTCTCTGCTCTCCTCACAGAGGAAGTCAACATTCAAAGGCACCAGTATTTCCTTCCTCCTCTTACCTCTCACTTTCTTTCCCAGTCTTTCCTTCAAACCATGCACAGAATGCATACACACACATGCACGCGCACACACACGCACACACACACACCCACGACTGGATCGACAGCAGTTGGCAAAATAAATTGCCTAGTGAGATATTTTGTGCTCAGGAGACCCTTCTTTCAGGAATAGCACCACCCTTGATGTATCTCAGTGTTATTTTTTGGTTCTACCTTCCTTCTTCCCAGCTGCCAGGCAGAAGGAAGCCTTTATCTTCAACTTGCCCACCCACCCAAAATGTTTCAAGAACACCTTGGATTAGAAATCCTCCAGTAAGTGAGCCAACATTGGGCTTTATTCAGGAGTCTGATCAATGAAGCTATGCTCTTTTGTTAATTATAACTTAATTATGTTTTTCACTGAAGAAAATAAGTGTAATTGTTTCACCTGTTTCTTATGTCTTATTCTTTCTTTTCTTTTTTTGTGTAATATTCATTGAATACCTGTCACATACCTGGCACTGTGTTAATTACTTTTCATATGCTATCTGACAATGCAAAAAGCCAATAGTCAAGCATTTATTAGAAAATTATTTATTAAATATCTATATTGTGAGAGGCACCATATCAAACACTGGCATGCTGTACAAAAGAAATAAAAGGCCTGGTGTAATTGTCCGGGTGCCACTTGCAGGCCAGCAGCTGAAGAGATAGAACATAGAAATATGAAACAAGTGAAGAAAGTGGAAGAACGCAATAAATGGAAAATTCAAAGTGACACTACAGAGATGCCTGGGTGGCTCAGTCAGTTAAGCGTTTGCCTTCAGCTCGGGTCATGATCCCAGGGTGCTGGGATCGAGTTCCACATCGGGCTCCTTGCTCAGCAGGGAGCTTGCTTCTCACTCTGCCTGCCGCTCCCCCTGCTTGTGCACTCTCTCTCTCTTTCTGACAAAAACAAAAAACAAAAAACAAAACAACAAAGTGACATTACAGATAACCTATAATGCCACAGTGATCCAAGTAAGGCAGAAATCTGTTAGCGTTCAAAGTCTTCATTTTCTAAGAATGGAGATCTCCTACAAATAACGGAAAGTGTCTGGAAAAAAAAAAAAAATCTCCTTGGTTCCATTTCCTCCAAAACTGGATCTAAGAGTATGTTATAAATGATTTGTTTCTTGATAAACTGTATTCAGTAGCCAATACTAATATGTGGTCTAACTCTAAAGCAGAACTATAGCATCGATAAGTTTGTTGTCATTCCATCCACAAGCTCGTATGCCCACCCAGGCAACCTTGTGCTAGTATGCTACTCAATGAACAGCCAAGCTCCTGCAGTGCTCTCCACTAGGCCCAGTGAGGCATCTCTCCCAGACAGTTACCACGCGTGTACATTGCCCTGCAAACACGTCTACACCCAAAGCAGTGACTCCAACACAGGACATGCACGTTGAGGAAAGAAAGGGCCCCGTGCTCTTAATTTTTATTCACACAGACTCCATCAGGTAAGAAACAAAGACCCACACTACACCCCACTCTTTGAGTGACAAGGCACAACAAAATTTTTCAACAGCATCTTTTGTCTGAGAAGGTTGAACAGTAGATGGAAATTCTCCTCAGATCCAGGAGTTTCCACTAGCAGCCTTGGTAATCATTTTCTTCCATTACTGATTTCCTGTTTGCGTTAAGACACTCCTGTCACTCACCAGCGCTCAAGCTTGTAGTTGCTAATTGATTTTCCACTCTTCTGCACAATTGAGGACAGATTTGATGGGCACAATTAGAACCACCTGCTACAAATTACGTATTTCTTTTGTTATCAGGCAACTGCTCCTGGTCTAGGACATTTAACACTTTGTGGAATAGAGAGGGGAAGAAAAACAGACCCTTACTGTGGACTAACAGACTGTTATTTTCTTGCTAACTGTTACAAAATTTTTTCAGGCTTGGGCGCTTTACTTCCAGATAGGGCATGACTGCAAAACTTGAGTTCCAGAGTTACCATGGATAATCCTGTAAACGCATATATATCTAAACCTTGAATCAATAAGCCATGGAATATTTGGTATAAAATAATCCAAATGACATTTAATTTTTTGCATTTTGCCAAAAGTAAGAAGTCCTGCAATATCTCATTTTCTCCTAGGTTTAAATATGCATTATTTCCAAGCATTTTTACAGCTCTGCTACTTTCCTGCAACCACCATACCCCCTAAACATTTTTGCAGTTAATTTTTTATTGTGATAAAATATGTAGAACATAAAATTGATCATTATAACCATTTTTAAGTATACAGTTCATTGGCATTAAGTACAGTCATATTATTGCACAGTCATCACCATCATCCATTTCCATAACTTTTTCATCTTCCCAAACTAAAATTCTGTACCCATTAAATAATAACTCCCCATTTTCCCCTGCCCCCAGCTTTGGGCAACCATCATTCGACTTTCTGTCTCTATGAGGTTAACACATCAATGGAATCATGCAGTTGTGCTATTGTATCTGGCTTATTTCACTTAGTCTAATGTCCTCCAGGTTAATCTATGTTGTAATATGTGTCAAAATTTCCTTCCTTTTTAAGGCTGAATAATATTCTATAATATGTATATATCACATTTTGTTTATCCATTCATACAATGGACATGAGATGCTTCCACCTTTTGACTATTGTGAAAAATGCTGCTATGAACATGAATGTACAAATATCTTTCAAGGCCCTGGTTTCAATTCTTTTGAGTGACATACCCAGAAGTGGAATTTCTGGATGATATGATACTTCTATTTTTAATTTTTTGAGGAACAGCCATACTGTTTTCCATATCGGCAGCACCATTTTACATTCCCACCAGCAGTGCTCAGGAGTTCCAATTCCTCCACATCCTAGCCAACTTGTTATGTTTTTTTTATATAATAGCCATCCTAATGGGTATGAAATGGTATCTTATTGTGGTTTCAACTTGCACGTCCCTAATGACTAGTGATATTGAGTGTCTTTTCACGTGCTTTTGGCATTTGTGTATCTTCTTTGGAGAAATGTCTATTCAAGTCCTTTACCTATTTTTTAATTGGAGTGTTTATTCTTTGTTGTTGAGTTCTAGTAGTTCTTTACATAGTCTGGATATTAATCCCTTATCAGATACACAATTTGCAAATACGAATGTATTTCCTACTTGCAAATACGAATGTATCTGCTACTCCGTGGGTTGCTTTTTCACTCTGTTGATGTCCTTCGATGCACAAAGTTTTAAATTTTGGTTAAGTCCACTTTATCCATTCTTATTTTGTTGCCTGTACTTTTGGTGACATATCCAAGAAATCATTGCCACATTCAATGTCATGAAAAATTTCCCCTGTGTTTTTCTCCTAAGAGTTTTATAATTTTAGCTCTTGAGTTTAGGTCTTTGATCCACTTTAAGTTAATTTTTGTAACTGGTATAAAGAAAGAAGAGTCCAAATGTATTCTTCTGCAGGTGGATATCCAATTTTCCTAACATCATTGTTGAAAAGACTGTCCTTTTCCCATTGAACAGTCTTGGCACACTTGTGGAAAATCATTTGACCATATATGCAAGTGTTTTTATTTTGGGGTTCTCTATTCTATTCTATTAATCTGTATCTGTCTTTATGCTGGTACCACACATTTTTTGATCATTGTACTTTCAGTAAGTTTTGAATCGAGAAGTGTGAGACCAACTTTGTTCTTTTTCATGTTTGTCTTTCCTATTCAGGATCCCTTGAAATTCCATATGAATTTTAAGGTGGATTTTTCTATTTCTGCAAAAGACATCATTAGGATTTTGACATAGACTGCATTCAATCTGTAGATCACTTTGGGTAGTATGGACATTTAAACAATTAATCTATGACATTTTAATCTATGAACATGGGATGTATTTCATATGTTTGGGTCTTCTTTAATTTCTTTCAGCAGTGTGTTATAGTTTTCAGTGTACAAGTCTTTCGCCTCCTTGGTTAGATTTATTCTCAACTATATTTTTTTATTTTTGATGCTCTTATATATTGAATTGTCTTTGTAGTTTCCTTTTCAGATTCTTATTAGTTAGTATATAGAAATGCAACTGCTTTTTGTGTGTTGACTTTGCATCCTGAACTTTGCCTAAGTTATTAGTTCTAACACTTTTTTAATAGAATTCAGTTTTCTTCTTCTTTTTATTTTATATATTTTTTAAAGATTTATTTATTTATTTGAGAGAGACAGAGAGAGAGCACACACGAGTTGGGGGAGGGGCAAAGGGAGAGAATCTTCAAGCAGACTCCCCACTAAGTGCGGAGCCTTACAACCTGAGGCTCAGTCCCACTACCCATGAGATCATGACCTGAGCCGAAACCAAGAGTTGGACACTCAACCAACTGAGCCACCCAGGCACCCCTAACTTTCTTTTTCTTTTAAAGAAGATTTTTATTTATTTATTTGACAGAGAGAGACACAGCGAGAGAGGGAACACAAGCAGGGGGAGTGAGAGAGGGAGAAGCAGGCTTCCTGCTGAGCAGGGAGCCCGATGTGGGGCTCGATCCCAGGACCCTGGGATCATGACAGGAGCCAAAGGCAGATGCTTACGGACTGGCAGGCGCCCCCCTAACTTTCTTTTTAAAAACATACTTTAGTTAATCTCTTTAAAATTATGCAATAAAAACATTCTCATTGGTATAAATTCAAGCAAGCCAAAAGAATATAAACTAAAAGTGAAAGTGTCCTCTCACCTCCATTCTCCTCCCTCCCACATCTCTCCCATTGACAGTTAACAAAGGTAACTGCCATTAACAGTTTGGAATTTGTTCTTCCAGGTTTATTTCTTGTGTGTATGTTAAGTATCTTTTCTAAATCTATATTTCTCTTCTAGTCTTTTGCAATAAACAATAGCCAAAAACTTAATATTTCTAGTTCTTGAGGAAAGCCACCAAAAACTTCTTATGTAGTAATAATCATGATGCATTCTCCCATTTTAAAACTACTGATATTCTATTTTTATTCTTTATTTAAAAGAAAGAGGAAGAAATGTATCATTTTTGTATTCATTCAGCAATAGAGTCAGTTATTTGAATATGGTATTAAAAATGTTAACAATTATGTTATTAAAAGAAATCCCATTGCAATTATTCAGCTCAAAGTTGAATACCTCCTAACTGGATCACTATGTGTAAAACTACCACAATTTTTTTTTAATTGAAATAAGCTCTCTAGTGAAGCTACATCCAGTTCATTACTTTTTTTCAATCTCTTGTTTTAGGTAATACAAACATAATCATTAAGTACTGCTGTCAGCTAAGTGTTGTGTTACAGACAAGAAACATCTTTTTTTTCTTTCAGCTACATTCGTCACTGGCTAAACAGATGAAGAAATATGTTCAGTTAGAGATTCAAATACACAATATCTCCTTTTGAAGTGTGCATTTTTTGAAATGCAAAATTTATTTTGAAATGAAAAAAATTGTCAATGTATCCCAAAAATAATGTATTGCTGCCTTCAAATTACACTTTTAAAATTAAAATGTAATGTTTAGCACCATGAGTAACAATTTCTCATCAAACTGATGGAAATTCAAGATATATTTTTCTTATTTACACTGAAAATGCACATTTGATTTCTTAACTTTTTTAAGGAGTTGATTGGAAAAAAATTTTTTTCTACAGTAGTTAAACGTATGCAAAGTATTTGTTTATTTCATTTGTTTTTCTAAAAAATAACAATTTTTACTTTACTGAATTCCTTAGATATAATATGTTATTCTGGTTCAAATAAGAATATAAAAACATGTACGTATGGTTACTTTTTGCTCCTTAAGTCACAAAACATTTGAATTATATAATCCAGTGAAACGAGACAAAAAGACCAAATATAAAAAAAACTCTGGAATATTCTCAAATGAAGAATTCTAAACACAAGTCCGGAAAAGACCTTAAAAGATCATCTGCTCTATTACTGTGAGCCAGAGTTTTCAGAGTTTTTTTTAAGTGTTTGGAACCAAATAGTGAGTATAAAATGTCCTCTTGTTTCTTTATCTGTTGAAAACAGACACTCAAAAGGCTGCATGCTGTGATCTAGAATTAAGTTCTTAGAATATATGATTTAAAAGAAAGACATATTAGGGGCGCCTGGGTGGCTCAGTTGGTTAAGCGACTGCCTTCAGCTCAGGTCATGATCCCAGGGTCCTGGGATTGAGCCCCGCATCGGGCTCCCTGCTCCGCGGGAAGCCTGCTTCTCCCTCTCCCACTCCCCCTGCTTGTGTTCCTTCTCTCGCTGTGTCTCTCTGTCAAATAAATAAATAAAATCTTTAAAAAAAAAAAAAAAAAAGAAAGACATATTAGCTGAATTTCTTTATTAACAATGATATCTTCTAAACTGTACCAAGAAAACTAGAGTCCTGATTTGAAGGTTTTAGGACCTAATGTATGCGTAATATAAGCAACTACTTAAAAGATACTTGCCAATTTAAGAAGCACAAGGTTTCTATTGTTTTAAGCAATCATTAATAGTGATAAAATAACAAATCAGTGTGACTAAAGAAATCTAAAACCAACAGGGAACAAAAGCAAAATGTTGTCATGAATAATGATATCAGTGGCCAAGTTCACAGACAATGTTTTCTCTCCATTAGCCAATAAATGCCATAGTACAAGGTAATGGAAGAACCAGCAATGTCTCCTGGGTTTAGAACCAGCACAGTGATGGTGGTCTGGCCGTAGTTTCCAGGATGTAGTGCCTTGCTGGTCTCCTAAGACAGTAGTTAAAGGCACTGGATGGGCATGATAACAATGCTGCTGTGCCTAAGAGGGGAGAAGGAAAAGCAGATCCTAAATTATGAGAGCATGAACCACTGGAAGCATAAGGAAAATTACAATAGCGTCTAGACAATGTTTAGTTTTATGTACTTTCCTTTTGAAGCATATTTACATAAAATTCTGCCACTGTAATCTAGTTAAAAAGAACTTTTCTAATTTCAAATGTGTGCTATTTAGATTATTAATAGAGTACAGAAAATATTTACTAAAGCATAATAAAAATCCATATGCTCTGCAAAGATGAGTATCATGGATGCCTAAGATCACTAAATGTTGGTAGTGATGTTCATAAGGCAGTTAAAAATTTTACTTCTTTGTGTTCTTTCCTCTCCCCCCCCCCCATTTCCTTTGACCCCATTGCTTTTGTTTCCCTTAGCAACTTAAGGATGCCTGATAATGAAACAATTCCAGAATTGGATGAAAAAGTCTAATTTGCCTTCCTAGGTTTCCTAGGTAATTTCATCAGGCCTACCCTTTCTCATTGACTCAACAGTTCTGGCCAAAGTCACCACTGTTTGAAATGTGTTTCCTCAAAACTTCAGACACATTGAAAATAAATTTTTCAAGATAGTTTACAACTTAGCCTAAAATTTCAATGCTACTTAAATTTTAATACTCACATTTTTCTATTAGATATTCATGTGGAAGCATATATACAAATTTTCCAGATTCCACTTTTGCTGCATTCATGTTGGGAAAGGAACGCTGCCACCAATCAATGAACACTAATTCATTCAGCTGTGTGGGGAAAATATGAGTGGGTGTACATCCTTGGATTAGTTCCTAGGGTTTTACATTTATCTTCAGTGAATGTGCACATCTGAACACATTTGAATAAGCCAAGGACTCCATGTGCTTGTGAACAAACCGATTTGGGAGACATAAAATTGCTACTCCAATCTCGGTTCTCTTATCACCAGGCAAGTGTGGTGGATGGGTACATGTGAACTCCATGTTGGCAATGTTCATTCCCCCTGCCCACTGCCGGGTCCCCCTGGCACACATTATGGCAAGGTATGTGCTATGTGGCCTAATTACAAAATAGGGCACATGTTGTGCCAAGAAATATATTGCTAGCTTGATGGACTTTACCACCTCTACTCTGAAAGTGGAGCTGGACTCTATCCTTGAAAGAAGTAAGCCTTGTCTCTGAGACTCAAATTCTCCTCACTCATCTATTTCTAGGAATTGCATGGACATTTGGCATGTATTAGTAATGTTCGGGGTCTTTGAGTGTTTTTCTGCTCCATGTTCTGAAGAATTCATCAGAAAGGCTTACTCTGGTGCCATTCTGTGCACCTCATTATGCTTTAATGACATTTGTTTATTGCCCAGAAACTTACTATAACCATTTCCTTTTTCCGTTTTTAAGGTTTGAACAGGCTTTTATTACCAGTTTGATCAGTAGTGTGGTAAAAACGAAGGAGAGTTATTTTTGGATAGCGCTTCAAGATCAAAATGATACAGGAGAATACACTTGGAAGACGGCGGGGGGGCGGAAGTCTGAGCCGGTGCAGTACGCTCACTGGAATGCACATCAGCCTCGTGAGTAGAGGGGACTGTAATACCCCTTCTCCCTCCTGTTTTCTTTGACCCAAATCCCTTCCACCGCACGGTCCACCTCCTTCCGTGCTTCCTTGATGTTTTCTTTTTTTCTTTTTTTTTTTTAAAGATTTTATTTATTTATTTGAAAGAGAGAGAGAATGAGACAGAGAGCATGAGAGGGAAGAGGGCAGAGGGAGGAGCAGGCTCCCTGCCGAGCAGGGAGCCCGATGCGGGACTCGATCCCGGGACTCCAGGATCATGACCTGAGCCGAAGGCAGTCGCTCAACCGACTGAGCCACCCAGGCGCCCTTCCTTGATGTTTTCTTTTTTTTTTCTTTTTTTTTTTCTTTTCTTTTATTTTTTTATTCTTCTGTTAATCCCCATACATTACATCATTAGTTTTAGATGAAGGGTTCCATGATTCATTGTTTGTGCACAACACCCAGTGCTCCATGCAGAATGTGCCCTCCTCAATACCCACCACCAGGCTAACCCATCCTCCCACCCCCTTCCCCTCTAGAACCCTGTTTGTTTTTCAGAGTCCATCGTCTCTCATGGTTCGTCTACCCCTCCGATTCCCCCCGCTTCATTCTTCCCCTCCCGCTACCTTCTTCTTCTTTCCTTGATGTTTTCTTAATGCCTAAATCAACTAAAACAATTACCAGAGGTTCGCAGGGGGTGACATATGGCTGATCATTTTTAAAAGTATAAAGCATGTAACATTGACAGGTTCAAGGTTTAAAATTATTGCTCATGACCACGTATGCCTTTATTAGCAGGAAGTCCAGTTTCTTCCTCCTCAAGTCTTTTCCCCATCTCCCCCTCATTGTCAAAGAATCTCAGGGGCTTACTCCATCCAGAATAGTCTGTTATTCTTTGAAGCACTGCGAATGGGCACATATGGGCACCTCTTATCAGTCCACGGTCACTGCCACCTTGCTGTGGAATGCTGACCCATTACTTAGATAACATTCTTATTAATCCGTCTCCTCTGTGGACATCTGTGGTAATTTAGCCAGGATTTCAGAGTTAGAGCTCTATTAGTTCACTCTCATAACCTCAGCTCTGGATCCCACAACATGAAACTGTGCCGGGTTAGTTAGCTCCAGAGAAAATAATGGCTTCAGCCACAACTACACTAGACCAAGCCTCTGTGGAACAAGCTTTAGGTCCTTAGGTCACCAACCTAGACTCGACACCCCTTTACCTCAGCATGAGTTCCTATTTGGATACCTTGCTCCCTTTTTTACTTGTGGGTCTCAATCAGGGCTACCCCAAGAAATGATAGGCAATAGGTTACCTCTAAATTTGTTTCTGGAGGCAATGGGTTAGGGGGCCTCAGGCTTTTCTCTGAGGAAAGATAGATATTATTATAATACTATCAAAATAATTTTCATATATCAAATATGTAATAATAATTAGCCAAAGGACTAAATATACCAATTAAAAGGCAGAGATTGTCAGAGCGGATCAAAACACAAGACTCAACTGTTTGTTGACTGCAAGAAAACACACTTTAAACATAAAGACACATGTAGATTAAAAGTAAAAGGGTAGAGAAAGATATACAATGCAAATACTAATCAAAAGAAAGCAGGAATAGCTGTATTAATTTCATAGAGCAGACTTCAGAACAAGGAAAGTTTTCAGGGATTAAAAAAAGGGACATTACATAATGTTAAAGGAGTCACTACTCTAAGAAGACATAACAGTCCTTTATGTGTATGTGCTTAACAGCAGAGTGTCGAAATACATGAGAAAAAAACTGATAGAGCAGTTTTGGATAGCTCCAGGAGAGATAGATGAAGAAGAAATAGGAGAAATAGATGAAGCTACTATTACAGTTGGAGGCTTTAATACCCCTCTATCAGATATCTATAGACTACTTAATCCATCAACAACAAATTACACATTCTTCTCAAGCTCACCTGCAATGTTCACTAAGATAGACCACATTCTGGCCATAAAACACACCTTAACAAATTTAAAAGAATAGAAATCATACAGTGTCTTCTCTCAGGCCACAGTGAAATTAAACTAGAAACCAATAACAGAAAGATAGCTGGAAAATTCCAAAATGCTTAGAGATTCAACAATACATTTCTAAATAACACATGGGTCAAAGAAGAAATCTCAAGAGGAATTTTAAACATTTTAAACTAAATGAAAATACAACTCATCAAAACTTGTAAGATGTGGAGAAAGCAATGTCTAGGGGGAAATTTAAAGCACTGAACACATATATTAGAAAAAAAGAAATATCTAAAATCAATAGTCTAAGCTTCTACCTTAGGAAACTAGAAAAAGAAGAGAAAATTAAATCCAAAGTAGGTCAAAGAAAATAAATAATAAGAATTAGAGCAGAAATCAGTAAAATTGAAAACAGGAACTCAATAAAGAAAATCAATAAAATCAAAAGTTGGTTCTTTGAAAAGATCAATGAAATTGATAACCCTGTAGCAAGACTCACTAAGAAAAGAGAGAAGACACAAATTACTAATATCACAAATAAAATAGGGAGCAGCACTACAGATCCCAGAGACAATAAAAGGGTAATAAAGGAATATTATGAACACCACTATATGCACAAATTTGATAACCCAGATGAAAATGACCAATTCCTTTAAAGATACAATCAGCCAAAATTCACACAAGAAGAGATAAACTACTGGAGTAGGCCTATAGCTATTAAAGAAATTGAAACAAAAATTCATAAGCTTTCAAAACAAACCCAGGTCCGCATGGGTTCACTGGTGAATTCTACTAAACACTTAAGGAAGAAATTATGCCAGTTCTCTACAATCTTTTACAGAAGACAGAGCAGAGGGAATACTTACTGTCTCATTCTGAGGGCAGCATTACCGTAATACCAAAATCAGACAAAGACTTTGCAAGAAAAGAAAATTACAGACCAATATCTCTCATGAACAGAGTAGCAAAGATCTTCAATGAAATATTAATAAATTGAATCCAACAATGTAAAAAAGAATTATACACCACAACCAAATGGGATTTATCCCAGTTATACAAGGATTATTTAGCATCTGAAAATCAATTATTGTAATCCATCACATCAACAGGCTATTTTTAAAGTCACATGATCATATCAATAGATGCAGAAAAACACACATATGACAAAATCCAATGCCTGTTTGTTTTTTTATTTTTATTTATATATATATATATTCTTTAATTAATTTTATTTTATTATGTTAGTTATTATATGTTATGTTAGTCACCATACAGTACATCATTAGTTTTTGATGTAATGTTCCATGATTCATTGTTTTCGTATAACACCCAGTGCTCCATGCAATATGTTCCCTCCTTAATACCCATCACTGGGCTAACCCATCCCCCCACCCCCTTCCCCTCTAAAACCCTCAGTTTCTTTCTTGGATTCCATAGTGTCTTATGGTTCATCTCCCCCTCCGATCCCCCCCTTCATTTTTCCCTTCCTTCTCCTAATGTCCTCCATGCTATTTCTTATGTTCCACAAGTAAGTGAAACCGTATAATTGACTTTCTCTGCTTGACTTATTTCACTTAGCATAATCTCCTCCAGTCCCATCCGATGTTGATGTAAAAGTTGGGTATTCATCTTCCTGATGGCTGAGTAATATTCCATTGTATATATGGACCATATCTTCTTTATCCATTCACCTGTTGAAGGGCATCTCAGCTCCTTCCACAGTTTGGTTATTGCAGACATTGCTGCTATGAACACTGGGGTGCATATGGCCCTTCTTTTCACTACATCTGTGTCTTTGGGATAAATACCCAGTAGGGCAATTGCTGGGTCATAGGGTACCTCTATTTTTAATTTTTTGAAGAACCTCCACACTGTTTTCCAAAGTGGCTGTACCAACTTGCATTCTCACCAACAGTTTAAGAGGGTTCCCGTTTCTCCCCAACCTCTCCAACATTTGTTGTTTCTTGCTTTTATTTGCTTTTTTTGTCCTATTGCATTAACTAGGACTACTATTACAGTGTTTAAAAGAAGTGTTGAGGGCGCCTGGGTGGCTCAGTTGGTTAAGTGATTGCCTTCGGCTCAGGTCAAGATCCTGGAGTCCCAGGATCAAGTCCCGCATCGGGCTCCCTGCTCAGCAGGGAGTCTCCTTCTCCCTCTGATCCTCCCCTTTCTTGTGCTCTCTTTCTCTCTCTCAAATAAATAAATAAAAATCTTCAAAAAAAATAAGTGTTGATAAGGAACAGCCTTGCCTTGTTCCTTGATGTTAGTGGGAAAGCTTTTATTTTTCACCATTAAGTATGATATCTGTGTATGATATGTTTTGTAGATGTTCTTTATAAAGTTGAGGAAGTTCCCTTTTATTCTTAGTTTGCTAACAGTTATTAAAACAAATAGACATTGCAAACTATGGAAAGAGCCAAGATGTCCATCAGCAGATGAGTGGATAAAGAAGATGTGGTATATATATACAATAGAATATTAGCAGCCATCAAAAAAACTGAAATCTTGCCATTTGCAATGACGTGGATGGAACTAGAGGGTATTATGCTAAGTGAAGTAAGTCAATCAGAGAAAGACAAGTATCATACAATCTCACTGATATGAGGAATTCTTAATCTCAGGAAACAAACAGGGTTGCTGGAGTGGTGGGGGGGGTGGGAGGGATGGGGTGGCTGGGTGATGGACATTGGGGAGGGTATGTGCTATGGTGAGCGCTGTGAATTGTGTAAGACTGATGAATCACAGACCTGTACCTCTGAAACAAATAATACATTATATGTTTAAAAAAAAAAAAAGGAGATAGTAGGAAGGGAAAAATGAAGGGGGGGCATTGGAGGGGGAGACGAACCATGAGAGACTATAGAATCCGAGAAAGAAACTGAGGGTTTTAGAGGAGAGGGGGCTGGGGGGATGGGTTAGCCCGGTGATGGGTATTAAGGAGGGCACATATTGCATGGAGCACTGGGTGTTATATATGCAAACAATGAATCATGGAACATTACATCAAAAACTAATGATGTACTGTATGG